TTTGAGACAAATAATAACAAAGATATTCTAGGGTTAGAATATCTTTGTTATTATTAATACTAGAATAGAATATTATTAATACTAGAATAGGGTTCCCACTATTAAAACTAAGGCTAAAATTAAGGATTTTAAGGAGATTTACGGAGATATTCTCCTAATATTTAAGGAGATTTGGTTGCAAACTACAATTTTTTTGAAAGAAAAAGTAAGGATAATTAAGGAGAAAACGATTACATTTAAAACATAATCTTATTTTTTTCAATAAATTTTAAATATAAACAGAGAAATTGTTATTTTTTGTCATTCATTTTTTTATTCATAGGAACAAGAAATTGAAATACTAAATAAAACGTTTTTGATAACTAAAAATTAAAAATTTCACACATTATACTTAAATATTATTTTAATAAATTTTTGCTTTATCAGTAAAAGTAATATCTAATCAATAATATCAGCAATAATCAGTTAAAGTTTAACTAATACATCTTTATGCACAAATTTAACGCATGGTTTTTTTATAATTGAGTTTATTTGTCAACAATGATTTAAAGTTGAAATAACGTTAAAAAAACAACGTTTAAACCGTAACGTTTTAACGTTTGATTCAACGTTGTGACATAGTTGGACAACGTTGAAATAACGCTTCAACCGAATTTCAACGTTGAAACAACGTAATAATGCCGGCTGGGGAGTCCTCTTTAAAATTAGTAACTAAAAATCATGTTGCTCTATCTTTTAATTGTCTCTCCTTGATCATACTTATTCTCGTCATTATCACTGTATTTGACTTTTTTTTTTTTAGTTGGGAAAAGTTAATTTGATAACACTAAAAAAATGGTTGATCGGAAAAGGCGTTTCTTGTAAGTCTACTGAGAAAAAAGAGATATTAGTACGAAAAGTGGAGGTTTTTTTAAACATTTCTCAAGATAAATTTGTTTAACAAGCAGGAAACTTGATTACTTTAAATTAAGCAAACCATTAACGATTATTCATCAACTCGCATTATAAGTTTTGAAATGCGAAAAAAGTTAAATAATGCTTTTTTTCTTTGTTAATCATAACCTAAAAAAAAATTAATGAAACACTAAAGATAAATTATTATTAGAAGTTGTTATATTAGAAGTTTTTACTAGTTTTATAATATTTTAATTTATGATAATTTATTTTAAAGTTTAACGCTCATATTAAAATAATTTCATTAAAATATTTTTATTTTTAAATTCGTAAGTTCGACGGACAGACGATTTTTTTTGGTGTGTTTTTTACTTATTTTTAGTATGGTCGCGGACCTCAATGCTAAAAATTGAAATAAAAATTGTTTTGTCTATAAATAAACTTTGCAGAGCGATATCTTTTGTAGCTTTTCTTTTAAGTTAGACTTCAAACAATCTATGGGTTGCAAAATTTTGTATCGATATGGCTAACAACATTAAATTGTCTAATTAAGGATAAAAACTTATGTAATTAAAAACCTCAAGTGTTAAATTTGATATTTATACGAAGTACATAACGACAACAATTGTACCAGTACGATAACCATGTCAAAAAAACATTAAATATAAATACTTTTAAAAAATAACTTTATTAACGATACGCTCGTGTTAAAATTAGTTAAAAAATCAAGATATGCATCACTAAAAGCTAAAAAATATGAAACGATTTATAAAGGAATATATTTTTTGGGTATGATTTATTACTTATTATACTTAATTATACTTGTATTAACATTATTATTTAGTTATCAACTCGTACACGATGCATTTTGCAATGAATTTACTGCAAAAATCAATTTTTTAAATCAAAGTGTTTTATTGACTGGATCAAAAAGATATTTACGATTTTAAATTTTTTTAAAGTTTTAAAATGTTTGTTATACCGTTAACTAGCAAAAATTCTTTCCAAAATATCTTAAAAATTTTTAACACAATTAGATAAATTTTTTGATAGTGTCTATTGGCACGGCCGCTGTGTACAACTTCTAAAAAAGACTATTAGCACGGCTGCCATATAAACAGTTAAGAAAAGGTGTTTGCATGATCAAATTGGCAAAATTTGAAATAGGACTGCACCATAACTTTAATATTAATTAATAGGTACAACAAAATAAATTAAAAGCTGAAAAGGAAGATCTGAAAAAAAATGGCAGCTTTGGTAATTACATAGAATTCTAAAAAAAGTGCGAAAACTAAAATTAAAAACTAATTTATAAAACCCAGTGCTTTTATTTTTTAAAAACACAAATTTTGCAATAAGTTTTTTTTGATAATCCTATTTTATTTTATTAACATTCGGCTGTATGCGTGTGTAAAATAACAAAAAATATCCAGGAAAAGGCAATACTAAAACCTCTGACCTTCAGTTTACGAAGTCGACGACTGTACCAAATAAGCTAAACGCGTGTTTAAGTATTCAAACAAGTATACTTATTTATAAATTTTAAATTCTTCTTTCCATATAAAAAATAAATTTAATTAAAATTAACTAAATTTTTAACTTATTGCATAACTAATTATTGAACTAAGTATTGTCATCAAGTAAGAGTATGTATGCAAAATTTGAAGAAAATCAATCATCAGGAAGTGACTCAAAAATTGATCGCAATATTTGGTTTTGCGGCCGTTCGAATAGCCTTTTTAGAATGGGAACACGGCGGCCGTTTGAATAGCCTTTGAATAGCCGTGATAAAAAGAAAAAATATATATAAAATTATTACGTATCAGATTGATAAAAATACATTAATATAACTTTGATATATTAATATAGTATTGATGCAAACTTAATATAAATTCTGGTATAATAACTATTATATATATGTTTATTTTTTTCTATACTTTAATACCTAAAAAAAGGAAATCAAAGAAGATTCAGCATTTTTGGGTATAAAACTCCAAAAAAAATCTTTTCACAGATTCCCTTAATAGCGCCGTTTGGTGTATATCTATATCTATATAAAAAGTTAATTAAGTAAAATTAGAAATAATTTTTTGTAATTTTTTTTTTTTTTTTTTTTTTTTTTTTTTGCCGTTTAATATTACAATAACTAAATATATTTTACATTAGTAACGACAGGACTTCTAGAAGATCATGAGGATCTTGTCATGAAGCCCTTTACAATATATGGTTAACTTTTAATAAAAATACAATGTCTGTAGTGAAATAATAATACACCTCTATGCAAAAATATTTAAAAAGCAAGATAAAATGTTAAAAAGTCAAGATAAAATTTTAAACCAAATAATATACAAAGTAAAACAACAACAAAAACAAAACAAACAAAAAAAAGGCAATTAAAAATAAATCAAGATATTTTCAATTAAAAATATAATTTTTTTAAGTTTCTGTTTGAATGAAGCAAAAGTCATTTGGGTTGAAAAATCAAAATTTGGTAAGACTATTTTGTTCCAGAGATATTTGCTTTTACGACAAAAAGGGGCAATAAGGCTGTCATTAATTCGAAAATTATATTTGTTTTTAGGTTTCATACAATAAAAATTTTGTAATACATTTGGCGACAAATTTTCTCTACATTTAAACATGAAACATAAAATATTAAAGACATTTAGTTGATATACATTTAAAATATTCATTTCTTTAAAAAGTTGTTTCGTGTGAAAAAACCGATTTTTAAAATTTATTACGCGAGTTGCGTGTTTCTGATGAAGGTAAAGAGATTTTAGCTTTGTTCTGTGAGTGCTTCCCCATATAATATTCGCGTAGTTTATATGACAATGTATAAATGAATAATATAATTGTGTTAACTGGTGTTTACTTAATATATTTCTTGCTTTATAAAGAATTCCGATGCATTTAGCAATTTTGTTGGAGGTATTATCAATATGATTTCTCCAAGATAGGTTTTCATCAATATATACTCCAAGAAATTTAGTAACTTTTTCTCTTTTTATTATTATATTATCAATTAGAAGGTCTGGCATGATATGGGGCAGTTTCTGGTATTTTAAAGGTGGATAAAAAAGTGTCCATTTAGTTTTTTCTATATTTAGAGACAATCTATTTTGTTTAAACCAAACAGAAACTTTTTTTAATTCATTTGTCATATTTGTAAAAAGCATATTAATATCTTTATGAGACAAAAACAAATTTGTGTCATCTGCAAAATTTATTGTTGTTAAATTTGATGATTTATGAAGATCATTTATGTATATTAAAAAAATAAGAGGACCAAGTATAGATCCTTGTGGAACACTACATGTTGTATTCATTAATAGATGAGATATAGAATCTTTATTGTAAACAAACTGTTTACGGTTAGTAAGATAACTTTCAAACCATAATAGGGTTTTATCTTTAATACCATATGATATTAGTTTTTTTAACAGGATTTGATGATTGACGGTATCAAATGCCTTGGACAAATCAATAAACACTCCTAGTGTAAAACAAGAGTCTTTAAATGAGTCGGTTATATTGCGCGTAAGTTGAAGAATGGCATGCTCGGTTGAATTATTTTTTTTGAAACCAAATTGGTTTTCGTATAGAATTTTATTTTCAACAAGATAAGAGTAGATTCGGTTGTACATTATTCTTTCTAAAATTTTTGAAAAAACTGGAAGAACTGAAATAGGGCGATAATTTGTTATATTTGTACGATCCCCTGTCTTGAAGATTGGAGTTACTTTCGCTATTTTTAGTTTATCTGGAAAAGACCCTTGTGAAATGGATGCTCTGAAGATTTTATAAAGAATATCTTTTATAATATCGTATGAATCAATCACAATATTTGTGTTAATATCATCATACCCAGTAGCTTTATTTCGTTTTAATGACTTAAAAGCAACCTCAAATTCATTAAAAGCTAACTCAGTAAAATTTAGATTTAGACTTATTGATGTTTCGAACTCGTCAACAGATTTATCTTTAATGAATGAAATACTATCGCTTAGTTTTGTCCTGACAGTGGAGAAAAACTTGTTAAATTCAAATGCAATATCATTTGGGTCATTTATTAATTTGTTTTCAATTTGTATAAAATTTGGGAGTAAATTTTTATTTGGTTTAAGTTTTCCAGACACCTCCTTCATGATTTGCCAGACGCGTTTTGAGTTGTGCTTATATTTATTAAGCAAGTTTGAATAGTAGTTTTTTTTTGCATTTTTGCGAAGCTTTTCAAATAAGTTTTTATAAGTTTTATAATTTTGTTTATGTTTTTCTGATTTTGATTTTAGGTATTTAATGTATAGCTTCTGCTTAATTTTTGATGATTTTCTGATACCTTTAGTAATCCAGGGAGATGACATTTCTTTATCGCTTAAAACTATTTCAATTAAAGGAAAGTTGGAATCATACACTTGGTAAAAAGTTTTGAAAAAATTGTCGTAGATTATGTTGATATTATCATTAAAATTAATATAACCCCAATCTATATGTGATAATTGTTCTCTGAAAGAATTTAAATTATCATTGTTGATAAGCCGTTTTTTTATTAATAACTTTCTCTGCTTCTCTTTTTTTAAATTAACACATATAGAAAAAAAAATCGGGAAGTGATCGGAAACATCGGTTTTTATAATTCCCTTTTTTAGCGACTTATTAAAAAAATCGGTTGTTAAAATGTTATCAATTAATGATGATGAATAACTTGTGATTCTAGTCGGGCGATTAATTAAAGGTATTGTTCCAGTTTCAAATAAACCATTAAAAAATTTTCTCGAACTTTGATTTTCATAATAATCAAAGGAGTTTATGTTGAAATCCCCGATCAAGTAATTTTTTTTCTTTTCAAGATCAGTTTTCTTTATTATGTTATTTAGTAAAAAATTGCCAAAGTTTTCAATTCATCCAGTTGGTGGCCTGTAACAACAGCTTATTAGTATATTTTTTGAACGCTTATTTATAAGTTCTATTGTTAAAATCTCTTTGTTTTCATCAGAAACACACTTTTCGCTTCGAACTTTATATAGAAGGTCATTTTTAACAAAAATAAAACTCCTCCTCCTCGCTTATTTGTACTTCGTTCTAAAATTACTGGATCAAAACCTGGGAGATGGAGATTTAAGTTATTTTTAAAATCTGCATGTAAACACCAGGTTTCAGTTAAACAAATTAAATTAAAAGAACTTTCCGCTTCGCTAATAAATTTGATAAGTTTTCAAAATTCTTTTTTAAGTTTTAAATTAATGTAGACTGCATTAAGATAATCACTTTTATTTTCGCTTTTTAAAATTTTGCTCACGTTACTAGGATAAAAATAAGAGGTTTCAAATTCAGGAGAATTAATTTCATTAAAATAATTAATATCCGGATCGAATTCGTCGTCTAAGTGTATGGGTTTCAAATAAATTAATTATTTTTTCAAAATCATTATTATTTGTTTCCATTTTCGCTATAGTTTAGATTTGGCAGTAAATAATAGTGTGCGACATGTTGAAAGTCTTTTAGGAAGACTTAGTGATTAATTTATTGCATACCACTTTAGCATATAACGTATATTTAAATATAATGTAAACAAATAAATAAAATTTAAAAAAAAAATACTTTTTTTTTGCATTCCACTCGCGTACAATAAGCTTGTCGTAGGAAATATATGCAGATTTTCCCAATTGTCTTTCAATTTTCATTTTCTCTCGCAAGTCTTTTCTTATTCGATTTGTCTCCGCGCAAAAATCTTCATTGATAAAAATATTCTTTCCTTTTAATTTTGAAGAGTTTTTTAAAATTGCTTC